GGAATGCTTCTTGTTATCCACACTCCCATGGGAATTCTGCTCTCATCCAGGGTTGCTTCTGCTGAGTCTGTCCTTTGGAAGTGCTTGTCTACACGTACTGGATTTTTCACTGCAAAACAGCTGCATAATGGAGAGTACAGAAAAGCTGAGTGCTTTGGTGTTGGGTTTTGAAATATTGCAATAAAAGCAGAGTTTAGTCCCTCTCCCAGTGAATTTCATTGCCACAAGCTACATCAAAGCAGCACCAGCCTGTGTATGACTTGATTTAGAGTCTCAATTAAGAGGAAACATTAAACAGATAGGGAGAAGGGGGAAAAGGTGATCTGTGTGAGCAGCTAATTATTCACTTCAATAATTCAGCGGTTTTTACACTAATAGGTTGGAAAGTAAACACCACTTCACATAGATGTAGTATTCCATTATTTATACACTGATGAAATTGAGGGTTAATTAAGACTAAAAAGCAGGAGACTTTAAACCGTTAATGAAACACATTGCTCTGTGTAGTCAGTAAAGTGCCAGTGGCTGGTGCTGCCTTACACAGAGGTGGGTTACTCTGAGGTAGAACATTGCTGTCACAGAGCAGCGTTTTAAATGTCTGGAAAAATAATAGCAGCTTTCTAACTGTCATTTGTCTCTCTATTTAGAACTTTTGTTTGTAGTATTAACTTCACTGATGAATTGTGTGTTCTGAGATGAGGCCAGGATTGATGTCCTCTGCTCAGGGATGTGTCCAGAACAGGCAGTGATCTATGATTTGCCTTTTGAACTCTCCTAGGATGATTACTGTGCTTGTGATTTAGTTGCTTGGTCAGCTACATCCCCTGTAATGGAGTGTAAGTGCCATCTGTGTTGGAATGTCACTACAACATGGTAGAAGCATCCCTGGAGGATGTGATTTGTACCTGCACAGTGAATGGAGGGACACAGAACCAAAAGGCTTTGTGTGCAAAACTTCTTCATCTCCCCAGGAGAGCCCTGATTTTTCTGGCTAGCAAGTAGCTTCCATGTGCCTCTTACCTTCGTGTTCCCCTAGAGTCCAGCTGAAATGTGTTTAAAGCCCCCACAGATAGGTGATATGTAAACCCCATAGTTTGGCCCTTGACAGCTTATGATGTGATTCATCTGGGACCTGAGAATATGTTTGTTTTCAAAAACCTCTGTTTTAGCAAAATCTCAGGCATTCCATGGGGTGAAATGGAGAGCAATCCTTTGAAACTGTGCCAGTGCCTGCAGGCCAGGATTAAGGCATTGCATCTTTAATAGCAAAATTAATTAACTGTCAGAGCAATTTACATATGAGCAGAGTGGATTTTTTAAAAAAATATGGTTGTCTTCTTCCAGTCTGGCCATTATGGGCCTGGAAATGGAGTTGCTGGATGTAGTCTGTGACCTGCATTGTGTTGGAAAGTTGTTTGGGTAGCAGCAAGTCCATTCTAGCTTCCTAACCTCCAAGCTGGGTTGTGTTTGGTTTGAGAAGCTGTGGAATTAGCTTCATCTGTCTGTGTAGTGCCGGGATTTATACATATCAGTGTAGGAATAGCAGAAAATTCTGAAAATGGCATATTTATTGGTGGTAGAATTGTAATACTCTTGATTTGTGTCATTGACAGAAATTAGCAGGCCATGGGCATGTCCTGTGATACCTAACCAGAAAAAAACTCTGGATCCCTTACAAAAGGAAGGAGAAAAAACAAAGCCTGATGTCTGTTAGTGCAGGAGCCTCTTCATGTCTACCACAGTCATTTTTATATGCCTATTTCTGGCTTTTCAGGAAGCCTGGAGAACAGAAACAGCCCAAGGAGCCTTCACCCTCGCAGTGCATGCATCTGGCAGTGGTGGCATGTGGGGACCGTCTGGAGGAGACACTGATCATGCTGAAATCAGCAGTTCTCTTCAGCAACAGGAGACTCTGCTTCCACATTTTTGCTGAGGATTCCCTTAAGCCTGAATTCGAGAAGAAGGTGAGTTTCTTAGCCATTTGGTAAATAAGTAAAGGAGCTCTAAATCCCAAAGCTGTGAGAAAATGCCATCCCCAAGCAGCACTTTGTTTACTGCACCCAGTTCTGAATGCCTTAGGCATGCAGAGTTTTTAGCCAAGCTGTGTAGCATGTAGTGTCTGATTCCTCTGCTGTGTCTTTTCAGTTGAAGGAGTGGCCTGCCTCGTATACAAAGAAGTTTGACTCCAACATTTACCCAATAACCTTCTCAGTAGGAAATGCCCAGGAATGGAAAAAGTTATTCAAACCATGTGCTGCCCAGCGCCTGTTTCTTCCGGTAAGGCACCTGGAAGTGAATTGCTTCAGGAAAAGGTCAATTCCACAGAAAGGAAGCTTTGCTGGTGTCATATCAAAACCATTTTCAGGCTGAGACATCTGCTTAAAGATATATTAGGCTGTGCTTTAGACATTGTGAAAAACAAGGCTGAAATCCAGCCTGGCTGTTTCTGGGCTAACAAAGGATGTGTGTTTCTGATTTGCCTCCAGTTCCAAGAGCCTCTCGGGCTCTCCAGACTCAGTGTGGATACAAGTTCTGCTCTCTCAGGGCAGATCTTTCAGGGTAGATGCTGCAAGACTTCCCTAAATAACATTCTTTCCTACAGCTCCTCTTTACCCACCATCTTCCTTTCCATATGTTAACCCTCAGACTGATGCTTTCAGCAATCTCTTTTCCATGAGCTTTATGTCTTTTTCCAACACTGTCAGAATTGCCCTTAAGGTAGTAATTCAAGTGTCCTCAAAGTCAGATTTCCTGCAGATGTTCAGATTCACTGAAGTTGTATTCTTTAATGTGTAGTGCTTAGTATCATAAACTTGGAAGATATTTCAGGTTGCTGGAGAGAAGGAAAGTGCTGATAACACTTTTGCATATCAGAAATGGAGAGAACATTTGCATAAAGAGATCTCTGAGAACGTCTATCAAAAGTATCTCGTGCATTGCTGTTGATTGGGGTGACTCCAGTGAAGTGACATGCTGTTCACATGATCCAGATTTCTTCATTGCTGCCTTATGAGAAATAGGGGTGGGGGCAAAGAAATCTTTCCTGCCTCAGATGGAAGCAATCAGGAGACAGCTGCACGTCCAGATACGTAGCCTATGAATACATATGTGAGAAAATATGTGCTGTCAGCAGTTCTGCTGATCTGCCATTTAGGGGTGGACTATCAACTGCACGAGGGCCAGATGGGCTGAAAGTAACTCCAACTTCAGCAGGGATCCTCTCTTCCCTGAGTAAATATTTGTGTCACCTGGAAAATAATCCCTAAGGCTTGTTCAATACAGATTGTTTGTCAGGATGCACTGGGTAAACACAAATCTCTGTTGTTCTTAGTTCTGTGATATTTTCTGTGATTTTGGTAGACTAACAGAGGAATGGTTTCACTTTTATTTGTCATCTGCTGACAGAAGGGGTTATGCATTCATCCTGATTCCTTCAGGCTGGGCAGTGCCTTTATTGATTCCTTATCACTCACACCTTGGCCAAGTTCTCCAGCAACTTCTTGTGAGGAGTTTTAGGCTGTTGCATGTTGTCTTAAGAAAACAAGGAGGCAGCTTGGACTGTAAATGTTTGTTTCTCTTGCAAAATGCAGTGTGTGGTCAGGCTGAGGCTTATGGCTTTGAGTAGGAGGGAGTTAGCCAAGAGGAGCTGCAGCTGACACTGAGCTGATGTGGACAGAGTAAAGACAACAAGCTGTAGTAAGAGCTGAGGTGGCAAGTGTCCAGTTGGGCTTTGGTACTCGAGTTTACAGGCTGACAGAACCTTGAGCTGTTTCTGGGTAATTTCAACCACATGTTTTGGTGCTTGCTAACTGGTTCTGATACCCCACTGGAACAGGCAGTGCTGAGGGAATCCTGTCTGCACACAGCAGGAACAGAGGGTTTCTGGTGTTACTGTTTAGAGAACTATTTTGACTTTTATTTTCAATGAATACCAGTAGGATGTGAATATAATTTTGTTTCTCATCCTTCCCTGTGCTAAGCACTATCTCCTGCAGCAGCATCAACTGTGCCTGGATGTAGGGAGCCCAGGAGAGCAGTAGTGGAGTTTATCAGCTGTTTAGCTCTCAGTTGTGCAAATTGTCTTGCTCCTGATAATGCTGAGCCCGAGTGGAATGTGAGCCTTTGATTCACAAGTGCCTCTCCTGCCAAAGAAATCTGCTCTGCAGCACCAGCAGGCGTGTGAACGTGGACAGGAGGGTGTGAGGAATGTGCTAAGGGAAAATCGTGTAAGAACTCTCAGTGGTTTACTCACTGATAAAACTAGAGCTGTGGGATGTGATCCTGCACTTTGCAGTACTGAACTCTTCTGTCCTGGGTGACAGGTCGAGATGCACATCCCCAACTTGTGCAATCTCCCTGGGCTGATACAGTATTAAGAAAGATTATACAGAATCCTACATCTTTAGAGGCCTTCTGTGACACCTGATCACATTTGCCACTTAGCTGCAGGGGACATAGATTGAGCCTCTGTGTAATCCCACAGGTCTGAATCTCTTGCTGCAGTCATAGAATCATAGGTTTAGGGGTTGGAATGGACCTTACAGATCATCTAGTCCCAACCCCCTGCCCTGGGCAGGGACACCTCCTCACTAGATCAGGTTGCTCAAGGCTTATCCAGCCTGGCCTTGAGCACCACCAGGGTTGGGGCAATGCAATAAATCCATCCATGGCATTTGCAAAGACACAGGGAGGAAGATGTGGATCTTTACATGAGCACAAAATGGAACTTTAAACTGGGAAGGTAATGCTCTCAGAAATCCCTTGAAACTGTTTTGTACTACTGACATGGATGTGAGATGGGTGAAGATTTGTCTCCTGGTCCCAGGGATGTTGTATCCCACCAGAGCTTCCTGTGCTGCTGTGCTGGAACTACCAAAACAATCAGCTAAAGGATCCTGAAATGCTTAAGGGATTTTTGGATGATTTTTGTATGAACATTTAGAGCCCTTCTCAAAACACTTAATCTACTTAAGAGCTTTTAAGGTAGATTAGCAATATCCCTGTGTTACAGCTTCCCTCTTGAGGATGCTGAAGTCTCCAACCCAGTGGATCAGTGGCAGCATTGGGAATAAATGCCAAGGCCTTGTCTAGGCAAAAGTCTCTTGTAACTTGAGTTCATTGCTTACTGCAAGTAAGTTTAGTAACTCATCTTTGTGGTGCTGTTCCATTAGCATAAGATGTTTGGTTTTGTCCCTAATTTTGGCTGAAGCTGTGATGAGCTGCCATGCTAGCCACCTCAAGCCATTAGGTAGCCCAGCTTCACACCAGTGTGTGTTTACACAGGAGTGTGTTATTCCTTGCCAACCTTGCTAACACGGGGAGAATCTATGGAGACAGAAGTTGTGAAATCAAATTACAGATAATTGAGTATTTAAGTGAAGTGTCAGGCTAAATATAGCCAGTTCTGTGCAGAACTTTTTGACAGATTTACTAAGAATAATCTATAGAGCTGCAAAAAAAAATCATCACACTTCTTTAAAGCCGTGAGTGCCTGCAGAGCGAGGGGGAAGACAGCACAGTCAGGCTCTGTTTCTGGCCATTCCTTCCCAAAATCACAGCCTGTCAGGTGTGTCTGTGTGGTTGTGTGAGCTCAGAGCACCAGGCACAGCCTGGCAGGGCTCCTGCTGCAGGTCAGCTGGTGTTGTTTCTAACCTGCAGTGAAAATGACTGTTCCTGCTATGTTAGGAACTCTCACAGCCACAATTCCTGAAATTATATCCCTCCCTACCCAAGGCACAGCCAGGAGGGATGTGAGCAATTCAGACTGACACCTGCAGGTTTTACTTGAGTCTTAACACTTCACGTGTGAAAGAGAAAAGTGTGAAGGGCTCAAAGGAGGTAGCATAGGTGTTTTTTTAGCCTGTTGGATGTCACTGCAGGGCAACACCTTGGACAGAGGAGAGGGAAGAACCCTTTGATGAACCAGGTTTGTGAACCCTGAGAGGAGGGATACGAGGTGGGGTCAGGTGCTGGTTGGCACCCACTGCTCAAAGAACTGACTTACCTGCTTGAATCCATTTACAGAATTATTACAGTTCATTGACTTCCACAGACTGAAATATATTTGTATATTGAAGGCTGCTGAAAGAGCAGTTTTCTGCTGGAAGAAGCAGTGCCCAGGCTGACATTTGTGCTTGGGAGGAGTGAGGAGTGTCTATAGGCACCTGTTAAACCTCCCCATTAACTGGGGGAAGATTTTTTTTTTGCTGGAAAATGCCTGAACTTGTCTCTCTCTACCCTTAGAAGAAAATCTTACATGGTCTGCAGTGTGCTGTGGATCCCACAGGAAAAGCCTCATAGCTTCTCATCTCTTTGTGTTCCTGTGTTACCTCCTGTCTCAGACTGATTTTTGGGGTGAATTTGGTTTTTTTTAGTGCATTTTGATTTTACATAGCAGGTCCCAATGAATTAGAGCTTCTGGTGCTGCAGAGTAGCATCATATTCAGGATATCCTTAAGCTGGAAAACCCTTTCTCCTTTTCAGCTGTGTCTTCTATTGATTTACTCTTACAGTAGCTCTCTTTTGACTTGGTTTGTTTTGTTAGCACTGGGCTCCAGGATACTTAACATCTGCCAATATTTACTCTATGCTCTGAGTGTGTTATTGAACTTGTGTCACTCATTTATTGATACCTCCACATGCTGCTTTGTATTTTTTTGTGGGGAAATGGTGTATTGCTCTAACCTTCCATCCAGCTGAGTGATCTGGATTGTGTTGGATGTGTTTCTTTGGAGTTTATGGTAAGCATAACTTTTGGTTCAAATGCAGAGACATTTGCTTCTCCTCCTTGTCCTGCTCTGTAGGAAGAACATGTAGCTATCCTGTGAGAAATACAGGTCAGGGGGTTGTTAAACTTGACTGAATGTCAATCTGAATCCCAAAGTGTTCAGTCAGGTGAAAAGTCTCATTGAACTCATGGATTTGGCATCTTAGTGGATGCCTGTTGAGCCTCCTTAGAGGTGATATTTCCCCCCACTTGTTGAAAATCTTAATGTTGTTTGCTCTGTTTCACAGGTAATCCTCAGTCACAATGCATTTGGGTTTATGTAAAATCCAGTTTCTTTGGTAGAATTCATTGCCACCTGCATAAATAGGAGAGTTTGTCCTTAGCATCATTGCAACTGGGAGAGAGAATGATTGATTGTGTTCTACAGTGTGGTGAAAATCCAGAGCCTTTGGGATTTGCTTCTCAGAAAAAATGAGAAACAGAGTGTTTGGCTGAGACCAAAGTAAAACAGTTTCAGTCCTTCAGGAATTTTTGGACAGTTTCAGCAAATAATGAAGAAGAGCAATAGAAATGCAGTTGAAATTAATGCTTAGCTGTAGATAATGATACCTATTACTTAACAACCAACCTCCCCCAGACTGTTGAGCACCACATCATCAATGAACGGGTGTGCAGGGATTTGGGTAGTTGGCTGAGACCAAAGTAAAACAGTTTCAGTCCTTCAGGAATTTTTGGACAGTTTCAGCAAATAATGAAGAAGAGCAATAGAAATGCAGTTGAAATTAATGCTTAGCTGTAGATAATGATACCTATTACTTAACAACCAACCTCCCCCAGACTGTTGAGCACCACATCATCAATGAACGGGTGTGCAGGGATTTGGGTAGCCACAAGGGGGAATCAGCAGGATGAAGAGAGAAAATCCTGGCTCTGACCTGTAGTTTACACCTTGTGATTTGACTAACTTCACTGTGGTTTTTCCTGATACAAAATCTGGTAACAGAGACCAGAATATGATAAGTTCTAATGTGACATTTCTGTTTAACAAGCAAATGTTGTCCTTCAGGGGATGCACATACATGTGTGATCAATGGGTTTGTTTTAATGTGAAACATTTGTGTATTTAATGCTGAACATAAGTCTGTTGGGAGCACAGGGTTGGAATAGGAAGAGCTGTCTAGAAAGGATTAAGGAAACATGACATGAAGAGGAGATGAAAAGTGTTCTGCTCTCCTGCCTTACCCTTTCTGCCTGTGGAGGATGCTCTATGCTTCTCCTCTTACAGAGCCTGAAAAGAGCTGACAAAGCTCTGTAAATCTATATTATTTACATTTTATTTCTGAGCTGGCACTAAATAGTCCTTGCAGGTATTTGTGAGAGCTCAGTGGATTAGTTAGGAGGGTTAGAATCCAACTCCTGCTTTCTGAGGTCAAAAAAACCCCCAACAAAACAAACAAGCCAACAACCTGATAACTGTTGTTCCTATGGGTGATAAATCAATATTCTCTTCCAAACCATCCGTTTAAAATACAACCTTTTGCCAATAATCCTCCTGTTTGATGCCTGTTTGCTTTCCATCTCTCCTCTCGCTGCGCAAAGGTCATTTTGAAGGATGTGGATTCTCTCCTTTACGTGGACACTGATGTTCTCTTCCTGAGGCCTATCGACGACATCTGGCACATGCTGAAAGAGTTCAACTCCACCCAGCTGGCTGCCATGGCCCCAGAGCACGAGATCCCAAAGATAGGCTGGTACAGCCGCTTTGCTCGTCACCCCTACTACGGCGCAACCGGCCTCAACTCGGGCGTGATGCTCATGAACCTCACCCGCATCCGCAGCACACGCTTCAAGGTGGGGAGGAGTGCAGCTGCTGCAGAAAAGCTTGCTGTAAAATTAGATAAAATTGGCCAAATTGCTTCCTAGGAAGAAGTTTTTCCCTGTGAGGGTGGTGAGACACTGGCCCAGGTTGCCCAGGGAGGCTGTGGCTGCCCCAACCCTGGCAGTGAAAATTCAGGGTGGATCAAACCTTGAGCAACCTGCTCTGGTGGGAGGTGTCCCTGCCTAGTCATCTGGTTGGGACTAAATGATGTCTCAGCTCCATTCCAACCCCTTAACATGCTATGAAGCTGTGTAAAGAATCAGAGAAATAATGTGTATAATTGGATGCTAAAAGCTATAAGTGAAAATGATTGTTGAGACAAATTGAAGTTCCTCAGTTGGCTGGAGCAGAACCTGCAGCTGAGGCAATCTGTTAGCAGGGGTGAAAATGGCTTATACAGCTTGTGACTTTCCCTGGGAAGACAGTTGAAAGAATAACCTCAGTGCAGTCACTGTGTTGCTTGTAAAATCAGAAAGCTTGGTGTGAATATCCCGAGAAACTGGAGATTTTTGCATCTGTTGTAACTAGAGTTTTGTCTCCTGCTGCAGATGCTCCCATGAAGTGGTGTAAGTGAGAAGGGAACATTTTCACTGACAGGTTCTTTGAAAGGCTGACTTATAAAATCTGTTTCATTGAGCAGATTCTCTGTGATCACTAAAGCTGTGCTTACCCCAAGTGGTTCCTCAGGCAAAGCCAGGGGGTTTCTACACCATTACAGGAACAGCTGGAGTGAAAAAATAGCATCGCTCTTCATAGCATAATTGCCAGGGAAGGTATTTATAGTCTGTATTTTTCCTAGCTTTTAAACCTCAGTTTTCACCTTGTCCCTGGATTTTTCCCCTTTTTTCCCTCCTGTTGCTCAGAATAGGAAGATTGTGAATAGCAGGAGCTGACATCAGAGCTGGGCCCAGGAGACCTTGTTTTCCTGTTTAGATAAACAGGAGCACAATCAGCTCTGCTGTTCCAGCTCTGTCCAGGTCTAACATTTCCTGGAAGCTTTTCATTTTTCACCTGTGTGTCTGACATGGCTTAGCAGACTTAGATCTGTGTGTGCCACACTCTGAGTCAGATATCACAGCACTGATCTCTAACTAACCCTTTGCCTCTGTTCTTGTGCCCTGCAGAACAGCATCATACCAGGAGGTTTGACTTGGGAGGAAATGTTGTATCCACTGTACCAAAAGTACAAAAATTACATTACGTGGGGAGACCAGGATTTACTAAATATCATTTTTTACTTTAACCCAGGTCAGTAGAGATTCTTTGCATCATAGTTATCTGTGTTCAGAAACCAGTGGTGTGTCCCCTCTGGGTTTGATTCTTCCACTTGCAGCTTTGTAAAGTTCTCCCTTGGTGTGTGTTTGCTCCCAGACTTGGTGTTTGTGTTCAGGGCCAGCAGTGCTGAGGTGTGTGTGGTCACCCCTTGAGGGGAAGGAACCTTCTGTGTCAGAGCTGCTGTTGGGATATGTGCGAAAGAACTAACTGAAATTTCCTGGTCACGAGCCCCAGTTTTTCCCCAGAAACAAGGTTTAAATTGTTGTGACTCTTGTTTGATGTGTGTTTTCCCTCCCCTCTCCCCTGACACGTGGGCAGAGTGTCTGTATGTGTTCCCCTGCCAGTGGAACTACCGCCCTGACCACTGCATGTATGGCAGCAACTGCAAAGGGGCAGAGGAGGAAGGTGTCTCCATTCTGCATGGAAACAGAGGTGTCTACCACAATGACAAGCAACCAACGTTCAAGGCTCTCTACGAGGTGATCCGTGATGTAAGTCTGCTCTCTGCACAGGGGCAGTCCTGGCATTCCAGTGCAGATTCCTGCTTCCCTCAGATTGCTCTGCCATCAGGCCAAGCGTAGCTGTGTTTGACATGAGCACATCAGACACAAAACAACAAGGTTGCTTTGGCCTCTCTCCTATTTGAGATGGTTTAAACATTTCTCCTTCGTGTTATAGTAAACGACTAAGGCAAAAGGCTGATAAATTGCTTTTCCATACTACTGAAGGGAGGAAAACAGTGTTGGGATGGAGTTGTTCCTGCTGGGGCTGCAGCTCTGGTCTTTCAATTCCCTGTGAAAGCTTATCCTCACTCATCAGGCCTCCAGAGATATGGAAGGCAGAAGCTTGTACACGGGCAGAGGTGCATGTGTCCCCTTGGAATGTTGTGTGTGCACAGCTCCACTCTCCAGAACAGTATCCCTACGTCAGTCAACTCCTTTTAAACACACACTCTGAAGTGCAGGTCCTGGGAATCGGCTGTTTCAGGTAAAACACCCAGACAACCTTCTCTGAAGGTGCTCTCAGGCAGGCAGGGTTTGAAGTGATGAGTTGGTGGCACTCTGGGACGAGTCATTCCCTTCTTACAGAAGGTTTTCTCTCACAGAAATTCTAAAGTGCCATTTCATAACTAGTGGAAACTAATAATCTTTTTTTTTTTTTTCCTTTTCTTTAGTTTCCATTTGAAGACAATCTCTTCCAGTCCTTGTACTACCCCCTGCAGTCAAAGTTTCTGGATACAGTGCACACTTTGTGTGGGAGAATTCCACAAGTGTTTTTGAAGCAGATAGAGAAAACGATGAAGAAGGTGTATGAAAACCGTGTCATTGTCTACCTGGGGGCCAACCACAGATACTAAATGTAGCTCTGTTTCTACAGAGTGTTTGATTCTTGCACTCCATCTCATGAAGGATATACATGAAGAGTATGAACTCCTTTGCTGAAACTCAGAATGAAAATATTTCCATATCCAATTTCCTAAGAACTCCTGAAATGATAAAAACCAGGAAATCCTAGAAGACTACCTAAACTGTGCTGTCTTGGGCTTTTTGTTCTCTTCCTACATTTGCCCTCAGTTGCAGCAGGGAGAGGTGATGATTCTCATCTATCTGAAGCTGTGCAAATGCTGCTCTGAGGCTTGACAAGAAGTTACAGTTGGAGCTATGTAACGTGGAGACTCCTGAAATGATGGGGCAAAGATTCTTGAGTGACATGAGAAATCTGAATTACATAAAAGATCATTATTGTGACAGGATGAGTTAAAATTTAATGTAGTACATGGAAGGTATTTGGTTGAAATTATTAGGGAAACAGAAGTGCCTGTTTGCCTTGTGTTTTACAGCACTTTTTGTCTAGCAATTGTCATTTTTCCCTTCTGCTCTTCAGCTGTTTTGTGAGGGCTCCTCATGAAGGAATTAGAAGAAACATAATTGCAGCAGAAGTAATAAAACCAGTGGAAGCTGTGGCACCTGCATAGCTGATGGAGAACAGCAGGAGAATCCTTTCGTGGCAGAGAACAGTCCTGGGCCTTCCCTTCCAGTCCCTTACGGTTTAAGAATGTATTCTCTAGCTTGGTAATGTCAATTACATTAGGCACAGTCCAGGAATATTGGGAATGAAGAGCACAAAACCAGGTATTGATCCATGTTCCTCTTTAAGTGCTATTCACTACACCAACAGCCATGACTCCATCCCTGACTCCTCTGTCCTGCTCCTCCAGAAACCTGGGACATGGGAATGTATTTCTGCGTGGCACTTCCATTCTTAAGAGTCACAGAATCCCAGAATCATTTGGGTTGGACCTTAAAGACCCTCTAGTTCCACTCCCCTGGCATGGGCAGGGAGACCTTCCACCAGCCCAGGCTGCTCAGAGCCCCATCCAACCCGGCACTGAACACTTCCAGGGATGGGGAAGTCAAGAGGTTTATTCATCATAATGAATAGCCTCAGAGTGAAAGAGGATACAAGATGTCTTTGATGTTTATTTAAAACACTTCATTTAGCTCAGCTTCCCAAATGATCATCATCTTGGGATATGCACAGACAAGAGCTTATTAAAATTGCAGGAGCTGAAAGGTGCTTGGGACCTGTCCCTGGGGAACTGGAAGTGAGGACACTCCTCCAGAAGAGATCCAAGAGCAGACTTACTCCTGAAGAGCAGTGATCCAAGAGCAGACTCCCAGAGGGCATTGCCTAGGTGTAAGCCCCGAGGGGATGTGTAGGCGAAGGTTGAAGAAAGCAGCAGAGAAAATGATCTTACTTTTCAAGTCTGTTCAGCAGAACAAATAAGCCATGACTTGCAACTGCTCAGTTTTATTTCTAACAGGCAAAGTAGGAGAGGGGTGAGCAGGGTGAGATAATGCAGCTTTCCTCTAAGGGAAGGAAAACTGGCACAGATTGGATATCCTGTACACGGAACAGACATTTGTTAGAGATAAATGCTTGGGGTGTGTGGATGAGGGAAGGGATATGTTTCTAAAGCTAAAAAGTAGGATTTCTGAAGAACTCCAGTTGTGGGGGTTCAGTTTTGGGGGTTCTACCCTGTCCAGTCAGGGCTGATGCACAGACTCATAACAAAACAGACTCCCAGAGAAAGCCCTTTTATCTTGCACATTCCTCTCCTTGGGTGGCAGCTCCTGAGAGGAGGGGAAACGTGGCCTTGCTGGCATCCCAGGCTGCCAGATAACAGCCTGCACAGGGGATGGAGTGCTGACAAGCTTTTCCCAAACACCAGGGTGTGAAAATGCCTGTGACATGTCCTGAGGCTGCTGGGTGCAGGACACAGCCTGGCAGAGCGTGGTGTGTCAGCTGAGCAGGGGAGGCACCGGGAATAAGGGGCCTTGGTCCAGCAGTGCTGCTGCTGGGCTGTGCCAGTTCCTCCAGGCAGGACAGAGGAACAGGAACATGTTGTTGTGCTGCAGATTGTAATCACCAGCTTGATGAAACAATGTGTGTGTGACTCCATCCCTTATCTGGCACTGTTTGCCACCAGTGTGAAGGGAGGTGTGAAGGACAGAGGCAGCTCAGCATCTGCTTGGAGCCAAAAAGGCATTTAAACTTAAATACAGACATTAATGTCTCTCCAGCTTGCCTTAGGATTTTCTATTTCAACTAAAGTTTCAGTGGCCACTTACCAAACAGCTCTAGCTAGAGAGAGAAGTTTGAACTGTAACCCAAATGAGCATTGAAGACTTGAGAATCAGAAGGCAGAGAAGGAAGGTTAAGCCATGCTGGTTTAAAAAGTTAACATATGACAGGGAACCCTTTAGGCCAGCAATCCTGAGAGCTCCTGAACAGTATTAACTTGCTTTTAGGTCCTTATTTTCAAGTACCAGGGTACAGCTGATAGCAGGTCCCTTTGGAGCTGGAGGAGCCACATGCTGGGAATGCTGAATTCCTCATTCTCCAAGGCACAGAAGGCTGCAGAGCAGAAGTCCTGGTGCCCAGACAGTTGTGGCTCTGGAGTTTGGTAGGCTGTGGTTGTGTAAGCTGTGATTCAGCACAGCCCTGCAACTGCAGGCACATTCCCATGAAGGAGTGGAATTCATTACAGAACAAAGGCATTATTGCCTAGGAGCTGATTAGAGATTAAAGCAGAGCTTCTCATGTTTACAGGAGGTGCTGCGTTTTGTTTAGGAAGAGCTGTGCTATGTTCCCAACAGCTATTAAATACATGAAGTATATGCCTTAACATGAAGACTTTTGTTAGTGTAATATCATCTGGCAGGAAGAGCAGGGGAGGTTCATCCCCTGCTGTGCTTTTTTCTGAGGCAAAAAAAGCAATAATTTGAGCTCTCCAAAGTGTTTTGAAACAATTATGTTACTTTGATTTGTCTTTTGTTGTTAGAATTATTAATTTATATTTTATTGCAGCTTCCAAAACCATCTTGTATTTTAGCCTTAACAGTAGCTGATTGTAATATTAATCTTACTTAGAAACCAGTTTGAATTCATTTTGTATTTCCTACTTGTGGCTAATTCCTTGTTAATTAGCCTTCATTTATCACAGTAATGGGATGTGTAAATACTTATATAGATTTATATCCTCATTTCCCATTGCTCTCCTGTCTTTTAGTTATTTCCAATGGTATAAGATAACCAAAACACCTTTGCTGACGTAACACCTTGAGCAGTGGCATCATAACTTCTGCTCAGAGTGGAAACTGGAAACTGCTCTGTGTGTGCAAACAACAGGAGCATGTGTGTAAAATATTTTGTACCTTTATCATTGAACTGTGTCTTTTCTCTGACAAGTGCACTGACTGTTATAGCTCCCAAGGAGACCCAGCAGTGCGTTTCAGTGTTGAGGAAGATCCTTTGGCTTACAGAATAAATAAATGAAGTTTTCAGCAAGATCTGTATGGTGATAGTTTTCTTTTACATATAAGATGTTATGTGTGAGTGCTGGGTCTGGTTGGGATGGAGTTTAGAGGTGATGTTACAGTGTGTGTGTAGGGTATGACAGCTTGGAGCAGGGATAAATGTTCCTCTTTTAGAGTTTGATATTGGGCATAAAGAGACAAATACATTTAACTTTCCCCAGGGTGCTCATGTGTCTTGCTGCAGCTCCAGTTGTGTTATCTGAGCACAGATCACAACCTGCACTCAAAGGTAACTGCAGTTTCACCTTTTTGCTCTTTCTCCATTCTGTTGTGCTCCTTGGAGGTCATTTGGCCTCGTTTCCCTTCCCTCCTTGTGTTTTTTGACACTTGTATGGTCACTCCTTGGTTGTGCTGTGACATCTCTGTGACAGAAGCTCCTGAGTTGTCTGTTCAGCCACTGCAGTTGGGATGGGATGGGACAAGTCCATGGATTGTCCCTCCTGGAAGCTGCAAACATTCCCCCACTGGGATCCATACAGGTTGCAGCCTCCTGCTGGCACAAGGTAAGGAATTGCTGTTGGAGCTTCAAAAGGAATAGCAGTGTTTGGAAATTTTGCTTTTGTTCTGGATTGAAATAAACCCCAAACTGTCAACACTTCCTTTGAAATGAAAATGGAGTCAAACCACCAAAATGAGAATCAGCACTGAGGGAGAACAAAGCACTTGGTTCAAGTTTTCTTTTTTGAGGTAAAATATTTTGGTTTGACTTTTACATTTCTATAAATTACCACAATTGCCACTGCTATTTTGTGGAAAGCTATAGTAAAATGTGTAACAGTGTCTTGGAACTCAAATATTTTGGTCATACCGAAATCATGAGGCAGAAAGCCACAGCCCAAGCTCTATTCCTGTCTTTCCTGAATCATGAAATAGATTCATTTGAATTCATTCATTCATGAAACAGGCCTAACCCCCTGCTCTGAGGGTTAGGCCTGAGCAAAGCAGGTGCCTTTGGAGGGTGCACACAAAGAAGGACACAAGGATGTCCTTCCCATCCTCCTGTGCTTCCACGGGGTGACGTGGTTTGAATTCAGGTTCCTCATTCCCGAGGCTCCAGGAGACAAAACCAATCTGGGTTTCATCTGACTGGTCTCACAGCCTGGGGAGTGATCTGCAGGAGCTCCTGTCCCAGGGATGTGCTGGGAGGAAGGTGTGAGAAAGCAGCTTGGAAAGGAAACTGCACTGGCCAGTTTGCCATGGGCTCTGGGATGAATAGGAACCAATCCGTGGGGATTCATGGTGTGGCAGTGTGGGGAGCAGTGGGAAAGCCTGGGATATTTATCCCACCTAACTGCTCCTTTTTTCTCTTGCATCTCCCTGTGGGTTCTCTTTCAAAATAAACGCCAACTCCCACAAACACCATTTCTGTTTTCAGCCTTTTCTGCGTTTCAGGCTCTGCACATGAGCTATTCTGAGCTTTCAGTACTCCCAAGTCTTCCAGATCTGTTAAAAACACGTTAAAGACTTTCAGTCATTTTCTCAGAGCAGGAACACAATTTGTCTCA